TGATAGCCTTTTCATGAAAAATATTTGGGTCGTAGTGCTCCATTTTTTTCATCTTTTGATGTTCTCTTTAGAGATCGTTTGGTAGAGTTTATTACAAATATAATGTATATATTAATTTTGTGTATTAACAATATCTTGTTGGTACATTTTTTTCATGTCATATATAATTAATACTTTTATCAGTTATATACTCTATTATGTATTGATGAGTATATTACTAATAAGATGAATTTTTAGGTATTAGTAATACAAAAGAATTTAATACATGTATTAGCATGATTAAAGACTCATGAATTACCTCTCAAAACTCCTTTTATTCCTTTTTCCACCATAGTTGTGAAGGATATTTTTATAAATAAATATTTTTATGGAATGCATGTTATTTTTAGTACATCAAACCAAATAATGCATAAGAAATAATTTATTCATAATTAATACAAGTATAACTAATGCAAGCATTACACATACAAATATTATTAATATATTTTATTTAGCATTATTTTTATACAATCTTACACGTACCAGCTTTAATCGTCAAGTTATGCCAACCATTATAATGGACCCACAAAATAATGTAGTCTTTGAATATCCTGTTTTTTCATTTATAAATTTTTGAGTTGAAACTTTAAATTTCAAAATTTAAAGGTGTATCGGAATATGTATTTTATTTAAAATTGTGTTGTGGACCATTCTGTCCACTTTTCGATATTCCCTTTAAAGGCATATATATCTTTAATTGTCAAAGTTATGTCTATTATCATGAAATACAGTCATACGCGTATTTTTAATTGTCAAGTTATGTCTATTATCACGAAATAAGTTATTTTGCTATATATAAGCAAAGGATTAAAAAAAGATTTTTATATATAGTGATTTATTATATTATTAGTATAATTTAGCATATTATATATATCAGGTTACTTATCATTTACTCTACGTTCATAACTAATGTTATTAGTAGAGTTACTTATAATTTTTTTAAAAGGCAAATTCATGATAATACATCAGATCCAGCTTGGTAAATCACATTTGACACTTTCTTTTTAGAAAAGCTGTGCAGAAAAAGTGAAGAAAATGACAAGTGCTTCAGCATGCTCAATGTTTCAATCAAATCATTTGATTAAATGCAAAGTCCAAGGCAATGATAACAATGACGGTGTGAGAGGAGATTTTCTTCGAGCTAGAATATCATGTGCTTTTATAAATAAGTACACAAGTCTTCGATAATTCTATCTACTAATGAATTATTTAACGTTGTTCAAATTTTATTTCCTCGCAATTTTTCAATTGACACTAAACCATAGTCTATAACAATAGTAAAGGAAAATACACGAAGTATTTATGCAAGAATTCTACACATTTAGGGTGTGTTTGGTAGGAAGGAAAAATGTTTTCCTGAAAAACAAGTATATTTTTTATTTATTTTCTCATGTTTGGTTGGTTAGTAGAAAATATTTTCCGAAAAAAAATTTTAGTGTTTGATTTATGAATAAAAAATATTTTTGAGAAAATATCTTTTATTTTTATTTTATTTTTACCAGAGAGTAGAAAATAAATTTTGAATTGAAATTGAAAATAATTTTTAAAAATAAACTTAATTTTTTTTTAGGGTGGGGTGGTGGGGCTGGCGCAGGGGGTGAGATGGAAAAAATAAAAATTTGAAATAAATTATTTTTTTATAAACAAACTTAAATATTTGTTTTTAATATTTCGCATCTAATCAGAATCAAACGATTCTTTTTTCGTTTTTTAAGTCGGCAACTTCACGTGACTCCGACTCTGAAGGAGTACACTGATTTGCAATAATTTAAACAGTTTTAAAAGTAATCCTACTAATTTCTATATATTATAAATATTTTTATTTTATTTTTAATTTTCGACATTTTCCACGTGCAGATTTGGAATATTGGGTTATATATATCATTTATTTAAGTGTAATTGCCGGCCAGTACAATGAATTTTGGAAGTGTAATTCAAACTCTATTTTGAAAAATAGCTCCAAGATCATGCATATGATACTTATCATATGTTTTGCAATTAATTAAAGGTAATTGATTAAATTTAAGATTTGTTATCACATAAATCAAAATTTAACAATGCAAGCTTGAAAAATAGCTCCAAGAATCTTTTTTTAGAAAACTTATGCATATGATATTTATTAGTATATGTTTTACTATTAAATAATAGATTTTAAAAAAAAAAATATGAGTTAGTATAAGTTATGGAGTTGTCTTTGATATAAAATGTTTTTTTTCAATCCCGAATTCAATAATTTAGATCCCAACAAATGAAAAAATAAAACAAAATTAAAAGAACTTCTAAAAGCTAGACTGTAATCGAATAACATACTAATTATTGTGTCTTTTATTATATACTACTTTATTTTATTAATATCTTAATAAATTTCTAGGTATTAACTAATGCTTGCATTAGTTATACTCTATTGTGCATTGAGTAGTGTATTACTAATAGCGTAGAATTTTTCTACATATTTGTTATGCATAGGGATTTAACACATGTATTGACATGATTAAAGACTCAATTACCCCTCAAAATCCCTTTTCCACCTTTGTTGTGAAGGATATTTTTATATATAATTATTTTTATACCATGTATGTTATTTTTAGTATATCAAATCAAACAATGCATAAAAAATAATTTATTCATAATTAATGCAAACATAAGCAATACAGATATTGCTCATACAAACATTACTAATCTGCTCTATTAAGCATCATTTGTATACGTACACAGTTTTACCGTTACCTTTAATTCTCAAGTTATGCTATAATGGACCCACAAAATGATGTAGCCTTTGAATTTCTTGTTTCATTTATTGATTTAAAGTTGAAACTTTAAATTTTAAAATTTGAAGTTGTATCTGAATATGTATTTTATTTGAGTTTGGATATGTATTGTCAAGTTATGTCTATTATCACGAAATAAGTTATTTCGCTATATATAAGCAAATGATTAAAAAAAGATTTATATTTATAGTGATTTATTATATTATTAGTATAATTTAACATATTATATATGTCAGTTACTTATCATTTACTCTACGTTAATAACCAATGTTATTATTAGAATTACTTATAAATTTCTTTTTAAGTGATGATGGTGTGAGAGGAGACTTTCTTCTTCAACTATTTAAGAGCTAGAATGTGTATTTTTTTTTAATATATAAGTACACAAGTCTTCGATCTTCCTATCCAACGTCTATTTTTTGATTGACACTAAACCATAGTCTAAAACAACATTAAAGGAAAATACTAATTCTACCTAAATTTTATGTTAATTATTCAATGCTACATATACAACTATAAGTACTTTATGTTATACACGCGAATTATACAAATATATACAAACACAAATTATTTTAAACTTGAGTAACTAAAATAGAAAATAGATGGTGAAATAAATCTTTTTAATTTGGTAGATTTTCTCCGTGTACGAATTTATTTTGTCGATTTTCTCCCCTATATTTTTCCATGAACCAGAGATGATTCATTTTGGAGACCACTAATCGCAGACATTATGCGATTTCCAAGGTATAAATGTCTTATTTGTGTATGTTAACATGGTATATCTAGACGTACATTTATACTATCGGTATATATATAGAATTTAAACTCAGAAAAATTATAGAAATTAAAGGCTCACCCAATTCCATAAGTGCCTCCAGTGACAAGAGCCACCAAGCCATTAAGTGACCATCTGGATCCTCCAACCTTTGCCATTGTGAAATTTCTTTTGTCTAGCTAATTGATTATTCAAAAAAAAAAATATTATTGCAAGTATATAGTAGTATTGTTTTTATAAAGAAGATACTATATGTGACCTATAAATACTACAATTTTTATGTTGGTGGGCCTTTAATTATTTGAGCATTATTGTCATGTGCATTGAATACGATAAGCATGGGCTCTATCTTATGAAACTTTAGAGAAACATAATTGATCTAGCTATATATATAGGGATCCCATATATATACTATAATAATTTGGTGTGAGGGATAAAAATAAATAGTGATGGGATAAAATTTTTTTATCTTGTTTGGTTGCCATGCTTGGGATAACTTACCCCCACTATTTATATCATAGTGATGAGATAAGTTATACCATATATATGGTGGGATATATAAGTCATCCCAGAATAACTAATCCTGAAATAACTTGTTCCCAACCAAACGACTAATGTCATTTAATACCACCTAGACTTTCACCTCTCAATGCTATTAATTAATTAGAATTACTTGGCATTATCGTTTAAATGATTTGATTGATTATAACAATATATAATATATTAGTATAATCTTAGAAGTAGCTAGAGTCTGTAAGGATGGTGTATATGCTATTGTACCGCTATTTTGTAAAGGTAAACAACTTGATTCAAGTAAATCATATTAAGATCAATGTATCATCACATCGGGAATAGCTTCTACAAATAGTACTATTTTATTTTATTTTGTTTTGTTTTTTATTATAATGTTATGTATAGAAACTTATCTTAAACACATAAAAAAATGTTGCTCAGAGCTGAGGTCAATATCAGCTTGTTGCTATAGAAATCTTTTGTTGTTTCATTTTTGATGAAAATATTTTCCACTAATTATTTAGACTTTAATTGAATCATATATGTTGGTTAGTATAATTCAATTTTGGTAAAAAGAATGTCATATGTTTTTATATATACATAAATATTTTAAATTCAAATTTCTCATTAACATACAAATATACATCTTTGACTAGTTTTAAACCAAATAATTTAAAAAGTTTTTTCTTTCTAAAATTTCATTTTTCAGTCAAACACCGCCACATACATTGAAGCGGAGGGACTAATATGAGGGCTTGAGATCTAATAATAAAGTAGAAAATAAATATTAATTTTGAGATATAAAGTCTTTAAGACCACTCTATATAGTCTCAGACTCAAACTCACTTACAATTATAAGTCGAATAATTATGATATTAAATCGACAACATTGTTTTAATTTGCGCAAAATTTTACATACGTGAAAATTATGGTAATCTTTCATTTTGGGTTCTTGAGTTCGAACCCCATTCAATGGCTTCTGCAACTGCTCTCTCTCGTTCTGTAATCTTATTTTCTTCATGACTTTCTTCATTATCAGACGATGAAACGGGCAATGAGGGAGAAACCGGAGAAACTGGTGACCCGAATCCCTTACCCGATTCGGCCCAAAGGAAAGTGAGAGCAGTGACCACGTCACTGATCGATGGACGAACGGTTGGATCCTCTTGTAGACACATGGCAGCAATCGCAACCGCTTGATTAAAACTTCTTTTTGGGATATCTCCTTTAAATAATGGATCTGCCAGTTCTGAATATCTACTTGTGTCTTTGAAAATTGGTTCCGCCTGGAAAAAAAATAGCAATATAACAAATATATTTATAAAATCAAGTATAAGATAATTATTAAAGTATATTGATAACATTAGGTGTATATAAGTTAAATTCGATTATATAGTAATAATGGACTATTATGGATTATTATCGTGTTTACTAATTGTACCACATTTTTATATATAATAATAACAATAATTAGGCTTTTCAAGTTTTTTTTCCTCATAAACTCTTACCTTTCTAGAGTGCTTATCATCTGATCAACTCTCTCTTATTAATACTTAATTAAAGTATGTATGTCTTTTTTTACTTATTTTTTGCACATACATATATGTAGTATCAAATAACAAAGCAAAAATTATATTGTGCAACTAGCGTACACATAATTATTTTCTGATTATATAGAAAATGTTGAATCCCTTTTGCATCAACGAAGATATAAAAGGAGGTTCAGAAATTTGTGATAAACCACACATCCAAGTTTCGAATGTGACATTCTAGTATTTTCATAAAATCCTGATTCCGCTACTTACTAACGCTAATCATGAAAATTCGAAAAATAAAGTAGGAGGGAAAATGTTTGACTTACCCAAGCAACTAAAATCTGTTCATGTCCATTTTTTGTAGGATCAACAGCTCTTTTTCCAGTAATTAGCTCCAATAAAACAACACCAAAGCTATAAACATCTGATTTAACAGAAAGTTGTCCTGTTCTTTGATATTCTGGAGCACAATAACCATAAGTTCCCATAACTCTGGAAGAAACATGGGAATTATCACCCATTGGTCCAAGTTTTGCTAAACCAAAATCTGATAATTTAGCATTGTACTCTTTATCCAATAAAATATTTGAGGATTTCAAGTCTCTATATATGACTGGTGGATTTGCTTTATGATGTAAATATTCTAGACCCTTTGCAGCATTTGATGCTATTTTCATCCTTGTAAACCAATCTAATGGACTTCTATCTGCTGAAACGTCTAAAAAATAATAATTCAAACATTGGTTAGTTTAATTGAGAGGAGTTCAAAATATAAAGAAGTAATGCAAACGGAATCCAACTTGTAGTGTCACAATAAAAAAGAATGTTCAATAGCTATTTCCATAAATATTTTGATTGAGTCAGTGAGACAATAAAAATAGTAATGTGTACATACAGAAAATTAGGTAATTTCTCATTATTTTAGTGAGAATCTGTATCACACCACACATTTTCCTTATGAACTAGTTCGGCGGAAAATGATTGGAAAAAAATCATGTCTTATAGCACAAATTTTCAAATAATTCGCGATAAAAAAATCTTTATTTCTAATAATGTATAAATACATAAAAAATAATTTTGACCTGTTGATGAAAATGCAATTACAGATAAAAAAAATAATATATATATACTATATTTTTAGTCAGAGGTGGTGGGTATCTTGCTCTATTGTATACATGGACGGAGCTAAGGTATCGGAAGTAGTTGTTGTGAATCTAAAATTTACATTTTATATACAAAGGTGAAAAAATAGTTTTTTTTATATAATATTATGTTGAATTGATTTCTTCCTATGTTATTATTACTTTACAAGTGATCTGACTGTATAAATATTTTTTACGAGTGCATAAAACTTAAACTCATACGTACCAAATAGATGATCCTCAAGGGCTCCCTGTTGCATATACTCATAAACTAGAAGTCTTTGTTCTCCATCAGCACAATAACCAATGAGGTTAACAAGATTATTGTGGTGAAGAAGGCTCAACATCAACACCTCTACAAGAAATTCTCTATTTCCTTGTAATCCATTACGGTCAAGCTGTTTCACTGCTATAACCTGAAAAACAAAAATGAAACTATAATTTCAAGGACAAATGACAGACGAATTCAAGATTTTAAATTTATAATTTTGAATTTTTGGGTGGGATGATAACAAGTTCGGAATAAATTATTTATATATATTAGGGGTAGCAAAATTAATTCTTAAGATCGAATAGTTTCATTTATTAACTCAATCTGTCTTAAACCGCTCAAATATATCTTATCTAAAAGTTGGTCTCATTTAGGGCTAAGTATATGACATTTTCAAAATATATATATACTTTTTTTTTGTTAGATATGTTATATATAAGTATAATAAAGAAAAAAAAAAGTTCCATATGTTCTGGTTGGTAACTAAACATATTATGAAAAGAAAAAACAATAAAACTAGAAATTGGTAAGATTGGATTATAACTCATTATTTAGCCTATCTTGATTTAAAAAATCTTAATAATAACTCAGTTGGTCGGCTACCTGATCCATTTCCATTTTAGTAATAATGAAAAAAAAACCTATCTTAATTCAACCCATTTCAAACAATGACTTAATTATTTATTAATTCAGCTCATTTTAACTCATTCAAATTCAATCCAAACCGTCCATTTGTCATCACCTCATTGTGGTAGTAATAGCACGAGCTAGCCTGTTGTCAGCCATGTTAATGTAAATACTTTTTAAAAATCGTCATTGTCATGGAGTTTTAAATTTCATAGGTAAAACTCTATGATAATATAATAATATTATGAAATTTGAAACTTCAGAACGGTGACTATTTTTCTATTTTGTGTCACAAAAAAATAGAATTACCTGGCCAGTTCTATCAAGGTGACCTTTGTAAACTCTTCCAAATCCACCTTCACCTATTAAACATTCTTGGCGGAAATTCTTTGTAGCAGTTGCAAGTTCTCTGAAAGTGAAAGTTTGAGCTGCAATATTCTTGTTTTCTTCATCCTTCTTATAATTACCAACCGTTTGGCTTATTATATTCTCTGAAAATTGTAAATATTTTATTTATTACAAGAAAAAAAAAAGTGCGTATTAAAGATTTATGTAAACACACAACTAGTTTGAAATGATTGATCATGCAATGCAAATTGCGATCCCATGAATTCAACTGAACCCAATACTTTTACCACGAGTCAGATGATGAAGAAAAGGTGACAAGGTGAATTTAGCTGAACTCGATATTTTTTATATATCTCTAATTAGTTAGATTGAACAATCAAATTTAAACATGAATTTCAATAAATATTAAATTTTGAATATATAAATTTCAAATTACAATAGGTTGGTACCAGACAATAACATAGATGGAAAAACAAAAAAAAAAGTGATAAGAACATATAGCTTGAAATTTCGATCGAAACAAAGTGGTTGGTTTCGATGAAAAGCCACATACATAGAATTTAAACTTTGAATTTTCAATAAATATTATTAAATTTTGAACCCATAATTTCGAAATTGTTAATGACTTGTTGATAAGAACATAGACGATAAAAAGCTAACATAAATGTATAGTATTAGATTGAACGATTAAATTTAAATCTTGAATCCGTACCTGGATGTGTTCGTTGCGGCGGTTGAGAATGTGGCTTATGCTGCGTCTTTGTCTTAGAAAAAGGCTGTGCTTGTTCTGGCGATAGATTTTCTCTATGAGGATGAACAGAAGTTGATGTTTCTTTTCTTTTCTTTTTATTATTATTATTAGATGTTTTATTCTCATTAAACGAAAAACATGAAAAACAATTCATGTCTTTTATTCTAAAAAATGAACAACAAAAAAAACAACCAAATTCTCCAATCTTGATCCTGTTTTTTTTTTCTATTACAAAAAATAATATGTTGAAGACAAAAAGGTTGCTTGCTATAAAAGACTCAAGAAAATACGGGTCTTGTTTATGAAAATGCAGAGACCCAAGAATGCAATTAATGGAAAATGGTCTCTATAAATATATGTATATAATTAGGAATAATCTGTCTGGCTAGTTAATTAAAATTTGAATAAATTGTTTTTTTTTGTTTTTATAAATGAGCCATTTTTGTTTAGCTGGAGACAGAGAAAGGATAGGTGATGGAAGCATGTTCTTTTTTTTTTTCTTTATGAAATTATCCGTAGAAAATGGAGATTTTAATGGATTTGAGGATTTGGAGGAATGTTTGGTAGAGATGTGTGTGATTACTAATTTTTTATGAGCAGTGTCGATGGTAATTACATTTGTTAATATATTAATATATTAGAGTATTAACTTAAACGCAAATAAATTAAAAAGATTAGAATTTGAAACTCATAAGCTTCGAATTCCAGCTCCCACGACGGTTAATGCTAACCAACTTAAAGAATATTTATAAAACAATAAACAAATGTATTACATGAACTGGTATTTCTGAAAGAGTGTTTTCTTTTAGTACATATATATGGAAAAGTGCTCGACACGTTTATAGCTCAACATAGTATATACAATTAGTGAAATATCAAAGATATATAGAGTCAAACTATTTTTATCATTTATTATAACTTTAATTTTTTTTAAATGTAAATTTATGTTTCAGTTCAAATGCTCCTAACTATGGGAGATCAGACACGAGGGTATGCTGCCAAAAAAAGAAGAAAAAGCTGTGACCCACAATAGATGCTTTCTTGATTGTCTTAAATTAAATAGTTGTTGTTAATTTACAAGGGCAGTATCCGGGCCAGCTTTCGTGCACCTCGACTAATTCCACGGAATACCAGCCACAGTGATAAAGAATTCCATAGCAAAAACCACTCCACCAAGCAACCTTCAATACATGGCATCATCTGCAAACGAGAGCAATAAGAAGTAACCAATACTGAAATACTGCTGCATCAAATAAAAGAAAAAAAGAAACAGCAAATTGGATCATACCATTATTATCTTCATTCATGTTGTAGTCGTCTTCATCGTCATCGTAATCATAAAGATTCTGTATAATTGTTCAAGAGTTTCAATATACAAAACATTCTGATTTCAAGTTCCTTAATATGTCTGTCAAGTTAGGGAAGCACACGGTTTTCCCACATACCTGATTGTAATCTCCGTCATCGCTAAATTCTTCTTCTTCCTCTCCAACCTTCTCCTCTGGATCTTCGTCCTCGTCTTCACCATCTTTTTTCTTTTCATCATCGCCCTATGCAATTGCAGTGAAAAGAAACATAACACTCAAAAGATAAACATTACAGTAGACAAGTCAACTTGTTTGCTAAAACACCTCAAAGGAAACATTTTTTATATGGACAAAGGTAAAACCTTAGACTTTTGATCAAGCTTTTCCAAAAGATCCAATTTTCGCATGTCTGTCACCAAAAAACAATTTCATGAGCTCGACAAATTACAACAAACAGAAGGCAAAAGAGAGAAAAGCATCTGCATTTCTTTTTCTTGGCATCTAAACTGATCAAGTACATTGTGTCTACTGAAATTGACAAAGACGCGCTTGTGCATATCACATAAGCTAAAACATGGTTCCAAACCGAGCTTGGTTTCTTTAAAGAGCTCTACCACTGATCAATGGATTGGTACACTCAACTTGAAGCAATTACGCCACATGCTAGCATGGGATGTTCAGGTATGTAGTAGCAAATGATCATTATTTGGGTGTCTCCAAGTACATGTGGTACAAAGCCAATGTCTGCCAGGCAATGTGCTCATGATGCTTTGCTAGAGGGTCTGATGCAGGTTTATTCAAAGAGCTTTGCTATAAATCAGTACTTCTATTACCAAAGTGTAAAGACTTTATTTTTTTGATAAGGTAAATAACTTTATTGACAAACCATACTGTAAAGATTTTATGCATGGTATGTTCAGAGAACATGATTTGCAACTCGACAGTCGACACTTCAGAAGATCTATGAAATTTCCATATATGAAAGAGCAAGGAAGGCAAATATCCTAACCATTAGGATTGAGGCATAGTTGTCGTTGTATGAAATAAAAAGGAAAATCAAATCATGGTACTTTACCTGGCTCTTGTTTCCAACGCACTCCTCCTGGTGGTGCACGTCTCACCTCCCTTCCACCTATAATATTTATAATCATAAAAGCATCTAAGTAAGCAAACATTATAGGTTCAAGAGATCTGAATAAGCAACATGTCAAAGAATTTAAGAATTAAGGAATACAAAACCTTTAGCTAGTTCTGCAGGAACATAGTCAGAATCCATTTTTATGAAGTGCTCCAATGGTGACTCTGGCTCGGCCCTCTCCGACTTACTATCCGAGAACCTTTCTATATCCATTCCTTTCGTTTCTAGAAACATAATATGTGATGTACAGAAGATCAGAAATCTAAAACTAGCAAAGGCTCATACAAAGTAACACGTAAATAATGAAGTAATCTGAAGTTCCGAATGTCAGACATAGAATAACAAAACATTAAATGTCAAATCATGCAGAGGGGTATTCCAGCTATAGAAGATTGGAAATCTGATACTATGCAGTGTGGACATAAACCGGAGCATCAAATAATCCATAATCATAGCAATTTAATTATCAGATAATGCAGAAGGAGAATGATTAATTTTCAAAGACTGCAGAAGGATTGACCATTCTAACAGAAAATGTTTTCCAAACCGTACTCGAAATGAACCAACCACCTGAACTGTTGGGGTTTATTTGCCCTGATTTCTTACCATAAATAGGTTTTCCTTTTAGGAAAAGGTTTTAATATTTTGACTAGTCCTTTTCTTGTAGGAAAGGTTTTAGGACTCTATAAATACAGGCTTGTTCCTTCTAACTTAATAAGCATTCACAATGTAGTCCTAGGGTTTTGAGAGTTTTGGTTGTGGGGGAGAATTTGTGAACCTCCTTGTATTCAGAATTATGTAGCTTCCCTAATTTGCATTGTAGACCATCACAAATTCTCAGGAGGAAAAGTTGTAAGAAAATAATCTTCAAAAAGAAAAAACAAATCCTCTGCAAGAAGAGTCCATGATGATTCCTTGAATTGACAATCTGCTAGTATAGCAGCATGCACAAAATACGAGTATCAGATAAGGTAGAAATACAGGGCTAAGAGCTTAAGAGTTTGCTCTGCAGACGCCAGGTTAGTCATGGCCCTCCAGGTTTGGGTTGTGACAAAACGATAGTGACAATCGTGTATAGATAGCTTAATAAGTGGCTTTATCCATTGCTAAACAAGTGGTATGACATTTCCTCACAAATAGTAGTAAAAGTTTCAAGAATTTGAATTCTTACTCTTCAAAACATCACTTTCATCTGCCAAATAGTAAGGAGAGGAGTTCCAGAACTTCTGTAAATTTGCCTGCCAAATTGCCAAAGCTATCCTTTCTGTGACACCAGCTGCATTACCCAAGTTCTCAACTTCCTGCAAAAGGTAGAAAGCTTTGTGTTATCTGCAACCCAGCCGACCACATTAAGCTCAAAACATTTTCAATCATAATTAGTAAGAGATCTATCTTTATCAAGTTCAATAGTTAATCTCAGCTAACAGGCTTCTAGTGATTGCGGACATTAATCAGCTCGGATTATATCTACCAAAAAACTATGAGCCAGGTTAAATCAACTAAACTAACAGTTGACATGATCTCAACCTTCCGTAACACAAGTGATAAGACACATTAATCAGGGCTTATATCAAATGTTTTCACTTGAATATAGAATATACTGTATAACACCAAAAAACAGAAAATCATCCTTTCGGAAGCCACTTTTCTTATCCCTTCACAAAAAAATTAATCTCTTACATTAGCACACGTTTTTACAGCTTCAAAAGTTGGAGAAATTCACTCATTTCCCATCATCAATATATTAATCAACTATGCGTCAATTTCAAATTAATTGTGTCCACTATATGATTCATACAGCTTTATTTATGTGGTATACAGATGGTTAATTATAGTTCAATTATTTTATCTAACAGTGGACCTATCACAACCCTCGTCCCACATTCAAACTTGCGACCAAGCTCATTAAATAATGTTACCCATCCAGAAACATATATTGTATCATAATTCGTGTGAAGAAAATAACATTAACGAACCAAAGGATTTCACTTACAGGGAAAAGTTCAAATGAGACTTGCTTAGCCAGCCGATGGCCACCATATCCACCACGCCCCCGACCCCGCCCTCTGGAGGCCATTAAATCAAACCCTGTATCATGGCCCATAAAAAAGATTAATACAGTATTACCCGGAAAAAAAAAAACAGTAGTCACACCATAAATCTTTTGTTGCTTAACAAGTAGGATAAATACTTGTAGGGGTAAACATGGTTCAGTTTGAGTCTTTAAAAGGGAAAAAACAAAACATATATAAGCCAAACCAGACAATCATAAAGCAATTTTTTCAATCACATAATTATGAACTTTCTCATCCGATAGTGCTTTGTCTCATGCTATAGAGCATGTATACCAAAAGCCAAGCAAATTTTGAAGGTGATGTAAAGTACTTAGAATAACTTATGTATTCACAGACTAGCATATTTGCAAAGCATGTGTTAGAGCAGGAATAGAGTCATGGGAACATTTTTGACAAAAGCAACAGAGAAACAAAAAAAAATAAAAGAGAGCTTGAGACAATTTCAACAAAAATTTTGGCATAAAAATGACATAGACTTGAGCAAATCATGCTATATACTACTCCCTCCATTCACTTTTAATTGTCATGATTTTCATTTTTAGAGTCAAACGAAAACAATTTTAATCATATCAATATGCAAAAAATTGCAATTTATAGTACTTTTCATATAGTTTTTGAATATCTAATTTTTTTGTTTAAAATATCAAATTAATATAATCTAATTTAACTTTAACAATTAGTCAAATTGACTTGACAATTAAAAGTGGACGGAGGGAGTACTTAGACAGCGAAAACAGTAAACCAAAAGTAAATGCACAAGAAGGAATTAGGACTAGAAGTGCTAAACATTCAGTGGGTTTAATTTTCTTTATTTAGCCATTGTATCATTCAATTGCTTTATGTTGCTTATGGATGCAAGTAATAGTCACACACTTCTTCTAAACCCAAGGAGGAGACAAAGCTAGATGAGGAATAACAAAGCTTATAAACTAACATATGATAGCATGTTTTCCAGAACAAGCAGTAATTACCCAAAATATTTGTGAACCCAGTAGAAACGAAAATTTCGTCAAAAATCATAGAAATTAAATCCCAAGGAGAAGTAATATTGAATCGAACAGAGAGGGCAATAAGAAAACTCACAAATTATAAATCGACGGCTCCAACAAAATCTTCAGTAAGCTCGATCAAATTGGAAGAAGAAAATCAGAAATTTAGGAAGAAGAAATTGTTATTAAAGCTGAAGAGAAGGCTTCAGCCTAATGTGGTAGATTGGGAAGAAGCGCACAAGTAGAGGACTTTATAGTGAAATGGTTAAATACAAAATTTATAAAACTTGGGGCTAGTCCTTAAATAGGGTCCTACAATAGGCTATATATGTAAACTTATCCATTGCCTATTTTACCCGCTTCGGTTACTTCTTCTTCCAAAACCCTAAACCCTAAAATCAATTGTGCATTTCATTCTCTGAAACCCTAAAGTTCGTTCGCAGCAAACAAAAATGGTGAAGAAAAGCAAGAGTAAGCAATTACTACTCTATTCTATTAATGTTAGATTTAGATTTTTTTATTTTATTTTTTTGTTTTTGGGGTGTTGCAGAGAGTAAGAGCAAGAGGGTATCATTGAAGCAGAAGCACAAGATTATAAGGAAGGTAAAAGAGCATCACAAGAAAAAGGCAAAGGAGGCCAAGAAGTTGGGTATTAACAAAAAGACTAAGGTGGAGAAGGACCCAGGAATCCCCAATGATTGGCCCTTCAAGGAACAAGAGCTTAAGGCCCTCGAGGCTCGTCGTGCTCGTGCTCTTGAGGAATTGGAGCAGAAGAAAGCTGCCCGAAAAGAGAGGGTAATTTGTTTTTATTGGATTTCAAATTGAGCAGAATGCATATTGTTAAACTAAACTAGTTTAGGTATAATCGGTGTTATTGTTGTAAGACGTTTTGATGCTTTGCTTGACCAGATATATTGTACATGGAAGTTTATAGGCACTGTAATGGGGTTTACATTGACTTGGCTATCATAAAAAAGTGATCTTTTGCTAGGTTTGATTGTTTCGTGTGATGCTCTTTGATTCGTCTGGCTTCAAATGTTGGATTGTCGTTTGGAAATCATAGCATGATTGTATAATTCATTATTGTTCACTGGTTATCTGGCAAGAATAAATCGATTTAAGGATGTTTTAATCCATTGGAACACTATCCTAGAAAAGGTGGGTTTGAGACCCAACCCAACTTACAGTGTGGAAAAATGGTCTGTTTTAGTGGATAGGTTCTCTTGCATGTTACAGTTCTGTTGTTCCGCAATTTTTTTCCTTGTGTATTTGGGCTGTTGTTTAACTACCATAACATTGGTTTTCAGGCTAAGAAAAGAAAGTTAGGGCTGGTCGAGGATGATGACGTGAATGAACTTGCAGACATGGCTTCAGGAGAACAGAATTTTATGGAGGGCAAGGGAAACAATGATTCAACTAATTTTGTTAAAATCCGTGGTATGTCATATTATGTTCTTTGTTTTTGTCATGGGTGGTTGTGGGAGGAAGTGGTAGCGGTTTTGCTTCTTAACTCTTTTCTCTCCTTGGTCTTTAACACTTGCTTATCCATGCAGAGAACTCGGAAAGAGCTTTCTACAAGGAGTTAGTCAAAGTCATTGACGCTTCTGATGTCATTTTAGAAGTGCTTGATGCTCGAGATCCGCTTGGTACACGCTGTCTTGACATGGAAAAGATGGTGATGAAATCAGGACCTGGAAAGCATCTCGTGTTGCTCCTCAATAAAATTGGTATCCCCTTTCTCCTTTTATTTATTAATATTATCGTGTATATCATTTTCTAATATCCACATGTATGTGCTGTTTCAAGTAAAAGATTATCAGGTGGAGTTCTTATTTGACCAGAATGAGTGACAGTGACTTATAGAGAGCACAAAAGAAGTGGACTTGTTTTTTTTGTGATAAAGTATATATGTGGATAAATCTGTATTGTGTTTTTATTTTTATAAACAGTATCTTTTTTGCACCCTTCTTTATCTTGATTTTTTAAAAAAAATATCTATATACATATGTATCTCTGCTTCTTTTTGATATGGGTCATTAAAACATCAAATTTGCTAATGTGTACACTATCTTATATGAAAGTTTGATGTGTTACTCTTTAGGTGTTCATAGGAATGCCATTATTTACTTTTTGACTTTGTATTTAGATCTTGTTCCTCGGGAAGCCGCAGAAAAGTGGCTAAAGTATCTGCGAGAGGAATTACCAGCTGTTGCTTTCAAGTGTAGCACCCAAGAACAGAAGTCAAACTTGGGCTGGAAGTCCTCAAAGGTCGGAAAGACTACAAATCTTTTGCAGACAAGTGATTGTCTTGGAGCTGAGAATCTGATAAAATTGCTCAAGAATTATTCGCGAAGTCATGAGGTACTTCTAGGATCAATTTCTTTATTGGGTTCTCACCTATTTATCTTGCTTCTCAGTTCTGGAATAAGCATTGGAACTTCAACTGCTATGTTTTGTGCACAAACTGTCTTATCATGCTTCATAATTGGTTGCACGCACAAACTCATTGATTCTAATCTGGGTTTCAGTGTCAATCAAGTTCATTGTTCAATTCCACTCTAGAGGATTCATGGTTTTGAAGACTTATTTTACTTCGATTGTCAACCTAACACAGCTCCCATTTATAGGTGGAAATAAGACCAGCTATGCACAGCTTAGATTGGTGGTATTCATATTGTTGGTGTTGTACACTTGCGTTAAGTTGGGGATTGCAACAACTTGTATGTCGATTTAGGAATAAGTATGAGATGTAGATAACCCTATTTTTTCTTAAAAGACAGTTGTAGCAGCATTCAAATGCATTAAGCCCCGAATAGGGAAACATGGATACAGAGGTTATATAGTTGACCGAACTTATTTCGAATTGAAGCATAGTTGATTGATTGATTTTCATATGCTCCGGGATTCCAGTAGATAAAGGTGGGTAGACTTTAAAATCCAAAAGAAACGCTTCAACTCTTCAACCGTCTCTCCATTCTCCCCTTCACAGTAATTTGCTCTAGATTGCTATCTCACGTGCAGTTTCCATAGCTTTTCAACGTCGAAGATCCCCATGGTGTGAACCACCTGTAGATTCACATAGTCAGGTACCACCATCTAGTAGCTGTCTTAACTCTTCCCAATCCAATGTTTGGCAAATACAAAAATAATTTAAAATAAGTCAAAAATGACTTAAAATAAGTTAGGAAGTGTTTGGCAAGGTTAAAAATAACTTAAAATAAGTTTAAAATAAGTCAAAAACCAAAAGTAGGTCTCCCCCTACTTTTTATTTTTTGACTTAAAAGCTACTTTTTTTAAGTCAATCCAAACGGGCTCTTAGAGTTATTTTTTTCCATTATAGGGGTGTCATTCTTTTTCTCCATAAATTTCTTTGCCTTTTGTCTGGGGGAAAAGGACGGGTGAAAATAACATAAGAAAATTTAGTGTACTCCAGAGGACTTGGTGTATGGGCAATGAATTTACCTACCTGTCTTTAGTCAATGTTGATGTCATTTTATTGCATTTCTTGCTTTAGTTATGCTGATTCCATGCTAATGCTAAGTTACTTGTTGCAGATCAAAAAATCAATCACTGTCGGCGTCATTGGTCTGCCAAATGTTGGTAAAAGTAGCCTTATTAATAGCTTGAAGAGATCTCACGTAGTCAATGTTGGTGCTACACCTGGGTTAACAAGATCCATGCAAGAAGTCCAGTTAGATAAGAATGTGAAGTTGTTGGACTGCCCTGGGATTGTGATGCTTAGGTCATCAACAGAGAATGATGCAGCTATTGCTCTTCGAAATTGCAAGAGGATAGAGAAGTTAGATGACCCAGTTGGTCCTGGTAAGTAGATTTGGTTTAGCATCTTTTGCATTACTCTTTTGTGCTATTTAAATGGTAGATTGATGTGGCTGACTGTGCTTGTACTGTGTGGGTTGTGCAGTAAAGGAGATACTCAAACTGTGTCCGTCCAGCATGTTAGTAACTATATACAAGGTTCCTAGCTTTGATTCAGTCGATGACTTCCTTCAGAAAGTTGCTACTGTTAGGGGTAGGCTTAAAAAGGGTGGAATTGTTGACACTGATGCTGCTGCAAGGATTGTTCTGCATGATTGGAATGAGGGTATGTGTGGTATCTATCAAGTTTCTTCGAGGATTAAGTTGAATTTGAAAAAGACGTGTTTTTCTATGTTCATGCTAGTAGTTTGATATCTGTTTGACACATCTCAGGGAAAATACCATACTACACCATGCCCCCGTCTAGGAACGAGGGAGAGCATTCAGAGGTAAAGATAGTTTCAGAACTTGGAAAAGAATTCAATGTCGATGAAGTTTATGGAAGTGAATCCTCAATTATTGGAAGCCTCAAATCAGTCGATGATTTTCTCCCAGTTGAAGTTCCGTCAAATCTCCCCGTTAACTTTGACGAGACCATGCTAGAGGTAAGTGATTCGCTTTTAGACTTTCTTATTTTTCTGATCAGACCCTTTCGACATTTTCCTTGAAGTTTTGTAACTGCTCTTCACTTGCTCTGCAAATCGAAATGTTTCTATCAGTGCATTATGTACAAATAGTACTGAATCATTGCTGATTCCTGACCACACATTCACAAATGAAACATATTAGTAGTTGTGAATTTAGAGTTGAAGAAGCACAAGTAGAGTTTATGAAGCTTTTTTTCTTTTTATGGATGATTATTTTGCTGGTTTCTGTTTTTAAGAACTTGGCTCTCTGATCATAACTTATTTCTGTTTGGAAAAGTTTTTCAGCATAATAGCACCTATAAGAAAAAGAAAACAGAACGTGTCCTCTTGAATTTGCAATGTTATCCTTTACATCTCCCATGTCTGAACAAGTAGTGGCGTCTATTGACAGAGTGTTCTTTTTTAACTGCAGGACAATTTGGAGAAACCGGTGACTCAGAGTGATAATGCAACGGACAACCATGTTAATAATGACAGAGATGTGTCAATGGATGCTGGAGAAGATGATGCAGGCCGGACAAGTGGCAAGAGCGCTAGCAGCAGACAAAATGAGAAGTTATATACCGAGGAAGGCATGCTAAATACCAAACTTAGAAAAGCTGAGAAGAAAAGGAGGAAGAAAGACAGAGCCTCTAACTACCAGTGATATGATGGATGGTGATTATGACTTCAAAGTAGATTATTTCAAGAAGGAATCCGCCATGGATGATGCTGAGGATGATATGACACCTAATGAAAGCAAGAAAAACAGATTTGAGCTACCATCTGGGAATGAGTTGGATAATGAATGAAGAGAGACATCACGATGAATATCTTTTTTGATGGCGGATAGAGTCACTTGGTACTCATACTAGAGAAACATGCATGCTCCCCTGGTGCGGAAGCTGGCTCGAGCTCCACCTGTACTTGTATTAGTGAAGCATGCATTCGTAGCGCAGAAGCTGGCTCTAGCTCCACCGTGTTATCAAGAAGAAGGAATTGTCTTTTCTTTATTCTATCTCATAGTTGGAGACTTGGAGTATTCATTTGCCTTGTTATTAATATTAATATTATTATTAATAATATTATTTCTTATTTCCACACTGTTTTGTACCACCCAACATTGGATCTCACGATGAAAAAGATGTTCTGGACCAGTTGTTGCAAGTAGGTACTGACCTGTTAGCTAGGCCATCGTTATCACATATCATTCATATTTAGTAGATCTAAAATGGCTTTAAAATGAAGTCACTTTTTTTTTGTTCTAGCAGTTAGGTGGGATCCATTAAGTTGCTACTTCAATTCACACTTTTTCCCTGTAAGTCGACATCATTCTCACGTCTTGTCATCAAATAACAAAGTAGATTTCGCCCTAAAAAAACCTCATCAACCCGATAACCCCTCTAGGGAAGGCCGATCAAGAGCAAGTTCAATATTCAATCTCAATTCAAATATCGATTTAAAATTTACTTTCATTTTTTATTTTACCATATATAAAAATTCAACTAGATAGTAATTAATAGTAACATAATTTGAACTTGTGGTAGAGGTTTAAGTTGACATAGGTTTTAATTGTATACTTGGAATGACATTTTCAGCACACTCATAAGAATAATAAAATTAAAATTTGTATAACTTTCAAAGTCAACTAATTCTAATTATTTAATTAAAAAAAAACTAATTCTAATTGTGCCCATCCACTCTGAAATTAATACGTAATATACCAAAAAAGATTTGGTATTAATGTACTAAATGCTTCTATGTTAAAGAGGAAATAGTCTTTCGTGTCTATTTATAATTTAAATCTTATGTTATTTAAATAGAATCTCAATATTATTTTTTACTGATCTCATGTGAAAATAATCATTAGTTAGAGTACATGTTAATATTATGTAAAAAGTTTTTTTTATAACAGACTATAAAATCAAATTTCTCCTACATTTTGGAAACTTGAGTACATGTTAATATTATGTAAAAAGTTTTTTAAATTTAATATTTTCCGTTCTCTCATAATAATAATAATAAAAAAGATAATGACAAAGCCAACAATAATTTGTTGTTAAGAAAATTTAGGAATGGGAATAAAGAATGAAATAAATGAAAGATAGTAAACAAGTCAGTTGAACGAACTTAATTCAATTTTTTTTCATTTACTTCATTGTCTATTTAAATCAAAGTCAAAATCAATTGGCTTTTAACAACTATAATTATTAATGTCTATATATAAAAAAATATGTACACAACTTATGAATATAGAAATTTCAGTTTCAAAATATGCGGACAAATAAAAAAAAACATTGAAGGGTCCCGGTACGTTATTTCCGATGGCACACAATGGTAGTAGCTTAACAACTAAGCCCACAAAGTAAAAAGAGTAAAAATTTATCCGCATCAAATATTTAAATATTAAGAAAAGAGAAAAGGCATAGGGATACAAGAGATTTAATTGTACTACTTCTTTTGTTGAATACTATTTGTCTGAAAAATCAAATACACATTTAAATTAGGATGATTTATTATAATTTATTAATATCAAGTTAAATTACATCACATTAATTAGTTTTTGTATGTGTATTCGGTGGGGTCTTCCCAAGAAATCAAAATTCATCGTTTCTCTGTGCTTGTACACTTTCACGCATAAATATACGCACATACTCTTTTTCGGTGTTTCATTTTTTTCATTTTGTTCTCTGCAATTCGAAATAGCTAGGGTTTTTGTCTCTTCTCGAGTGTGAGAAGAGAGAGCAAAAATGGGGCAACAATCGTTGATCTACAGCTTCGTTGCGCGAGGAACGGTGATTCTCGCTGAGTATACTGAGTTCACTGGAAATTTCACCAGTATTGCATCTCAGTGCCTTCAGAAACTCCCTGCTTCCAACAACAAGTTCACCTATAACTGTGATGGACATACTTTTAACTACCTCGTCGATGACGGCTTCAGTGAGTTTTTTTTTTCCTTTTCTCGCTTTTCCTCTGTGTGTTTGTTCTGATCTGTAAGTCGACTGGTTTTTTTTCTGATCTGTTATCTATGATTATCTGCTTCTTTGATCTGACAGTTCAAATTTATCGATCAGTTCCATTTTCATCTGAATCGCTACTGCTATGATATTGACTGTGTTAGATCTTAGTCATACTGATAAGTGGTCAATTCCTAGGCGTTGAGTTTGAATTGAAGCAAATTTTTGGTTTAGATCTCTTTTATTTTGTGAACTATTTGCAAAAATAAGGATATTCGAGAATTTTGTTTATTAAGAGAACTAGAGGATAAGGACTTGTATGGAAGATCCTCCAATCATCGTCTGTGCCTTTGTTTGCTTGATTCGTTTTTTGTGTAATTCGGTCAGTTTGGTGTTCTTTTATTAGAATCTACTGATACTTGCAGTTTCTTCGTTTGCTTAGCAGTGCGGATGACAATGCATCTTTGATTCATTCTGTTGGAAATACCAGGACTTTTAACATTATTTTACTTGTCTCAACATAGACGCGTAGAACCGTTTTAATTTTGAGATGACACCCAGGCTTGATTGCTTGTCTAATTTGTGGTCTTCCTGTGAGAGATCCATGAAATTAAACGCGAAATGCAAATTTTGCGCAGCTGTCTTAAGTTTAGCATGTCGGATCACCAACTTTTATGGAGGCGATATAGTATGTATTTCTACATAGTATAAGTAGTCGGGGGATTTTCTCATTTTAGAATTGGAATGTATATGAAAAATAAGTCTATTTTGACAGATTATTGTCTCACTTGTTGTATCTGGGAAATTATTGAGCTATCTGAGTATCATGTTGGATATGCTTATTATTGAAAGATGATATAAGGAAACAATTTTGATACAACTTTGTTAAGTATTTATTTTCCTAGGATACTAGTGTGCATTTACCACTGTACTTAAAATAATGATTGCTATCTGGCAATTTGATAAATAATGCGCCATTGTCATGTTGTTTGTGTTTTGGCATTTGTAAAGCTAATGGGCTTTATTTTGTACAACCAGCATACTGTGTTGTAGCTGTGGAGTCTGTTGGCAGGCAGGTCCCAATTGCATTTCTGGAGAGAGTTAAGGATGATTTTACCAAGAAATATGGTGGAGGCAAAGCTGCTACAG